TATGATGAATATGATGGAGAGCAAGCAGATGCGGATCTAGATCCGGAGGACAATGTCTATGCCGATTCTGGTGAGTCTTTAGTGGTGCGTCGGGTTTTAAATATTGCTGAGGTAGATGATGAATCGTGGCTCAGGCATAATATCTTTCATACGAAGTGCACTAGTTGGGGAAAGGTGTGTAGTATGATAATTGACGGTGGAAGTTGCGAGAATGTAATATCTACCACTATGGTAGAAAAGTTAGGGTTGAAATCTGTCGAACATCGTCAACCATATAAGCTGTCATGGCTTAGGAAGGGGAATGAGGTAAAAGTGAGCAAGAGGTGTTTAGTGCAGTTCTCAATTGGGAAGAAATATACCGATGAAGTGTAGGGTGACATAGTTCCAATGGATGCTTGTCATATTCTGTTAGGAAGACCTTGGCAGTTTGACAGGAAAACACAGCATGACAGATTCAAAAATACATACACCTTCAAGAAGGATGGCCGGACCATTACTCTGGGTCCTTCAGATTTGAGAAAAGAAGGGAAAAGTAATCTGCTTTCCAAATCAGAGTTCCAGGAGGAGGCGGTGAATGCCCTAGATCTTTTTGCTATTGTAGTCATGGAGCAGAATCTTGATAGTCCAGAAATTTCAACTCAAGTTCTGCCTATACTTGAGGAGTCTGCTGATGTCGTACCAGAGGAATTGCCACCTGGATTGCCACCCATGAGGGACATTCAGCATTGTATAGATCTCGTTCCAGGAGCTGCTATTCCTAATAAGGCAGCTTACAGAATGAATCCTAAGGAGCATGAGGAGATGCAGAGGCAAATACAGGAACTATTAGAAAAAGGTGCAATTCGAGAGAGCATGAGCCCTTGTGCAGTACCAACTTTGTTGGTTCCTAAGAAAGACGGGTCATGGAGAATGTGCGTGGATAGCAGAGCTGTTAACAAGATCACGATTAAGTATCACTTTCCTATCTCGAGATTTGATGATTTAATTGATCAACTACATGGAGCGACTATCTTTTCGAAGATAGACTTGAGGAGTGGATATCATCAGATTAGGGTGCATCCTGGAGATGAATGGAAGACCGCTTTTAAAACTCGAGATGATCTGTATGAGTGGATGGTGATGCCTTTCGGGTTATCTAACGCACCGAGCACCTTTATGAGACTGATGAATCGGTGTTTAGTCCTTTTATTGGCCAGTTTGTCGTCATATATTTTGATGATATTTTGGTTTATAGTGCATCGACTGATCAACACTTGCAGCATTTGAGAAGGGTGTTCGAGACATTGAGGGAGCAGAAATTATATGCTAATACCAAGAAGTGTCACTTCTTGACTGATCGTGTGACCTTTTTGGGATATATAGTAACTAAAGAGGGCATTCATATGGACCCAGCTAAGGTTGAGGCTATTACAAATTGGAAGATTCCGAAAAATATTCATGAGGTAAGTAGCTTTCATGGGCTTGCGTCTTTTTATCGGAGATTTGTTCGGGATTTCAGTACTATTGTTGCACCTCTGACGGATTGTCTGAAAGGAAGTAAATTTGTATGGACTAAGGAGGCAGAAACTGCCTTTCAATTATTAAAGAAGAATGTGACTGAAGCACCTGTTCTCGTGCTTCCTGACTTTAATGAGATTTTTTAGGTGCATTGTGATGCTTCAGGTATTGGTATTGGAGGTGTCCTAAGTCAAAAATGTAAACCTGTAGTATTCTTTAGTGAGAAGTTGAACGAGGCAAAAAGGAAATATTCAACTTATGATAAATAATTTATGCTATTGTGAGGAGTTTGGAGCATTGGAGGCACTATCTTATTTCGAAAGAGTTTATCTTATTTTCTGATTATGAAGCCTTGAAATACATCAATGGGCAGCACAAATTGAACGCAATGCATGCAAAGTGGGTGAAGTTCCTTCAAGTTTTAAGTTTTTCTATCAAGCATAAAGTAGGAGTGCTAAATAGTGTGGCAGATCTTTGAGCAGAAAACACTCTTTGCTGTCTACGATGCAGGTAAAAGTTCTAGGCTTTGATACTTTTAAAGATTTATATGTTGATGATCCTCATTTTGGGGATATCCGAAGGAAGAGCAAAATGGAACCTTTTCAGCAAGGGTTAATACCACGAAAAACCCTAAACTGGTACACTTGTGACACATTTACCCCAAACTATTTTTTTGATCATAAAAAACCCTAAACTGGTACACCTGTGACAATTTTACCCCAAACATACCACAAAAAACCCTAAACTGGTACACATGTGACAATTTTACCCCGAACTAATTTTTAATATTTTTTTTTTGAATTTTTTGAATTTTTTCTTTTTTCTTTTCTTTTCTTTTTTTTTCCTTCACCTTCAACCTCTGGCCGGTCGCCGGTCCGGCGACCGGCCAGAGGCGGAAGCCGGCGAGGGCTGCCCTCGCCGGCCGGCGGCCTCGCTCGGCCGCCGGATCCGCGAGGGCGACCTCGCTGCGTCGAGCGACCCTCGCCTACGTCGGGCGGGCCGCCTGCCGCATCGGGCGGCCTCGCTGCGTCGGGCGAGGCCGGCATCAGGCGGCCCTCGCTGCGTCGGGCGAGGCCGTCCTCTCTCGCCCGGGGCAAGGGCGACCCTCGCCCGACTCAGGCGAGGGGGCCCTCGCCCAACGCAGGCAAGGGTCGCCCTCGCCAAAATCCCGGCGAGGGCGACCTGCCCCGAGCCCGGCGAGGGCGGCCCTCGCCTACGTCGGCGAGCGACGGCTCGCCTCGCCGTGCGAGCGAGGCGGCCTCGCCGGCTTCAGCCTGTCGGCCGGTCGACGGACCGCGACCGGCCAGGGTGCAAGATGAAAAAAAAAAAGAAAAGAAAAGAATAAAAAATAAATAAAAATTCGAAAAAAATAAAAAAATAATATTAAAATTTTAATTCAGGGTAAAATTGTCACATATGTACCAGTTTGGGGTTTTTTGTGGTAAGTTCAGGGTAAAATTGTCACAGGTGTACCAGTTTGGGGTTTTTGGTGGTCAAAAAAATAGTTCATGGTAAAATTATCACAGGTGTACCAGTTTAGGATTTTTTATGATCAAAAAAATAGTTTGGGGTAAATGTGTCACAAGTGTATCAGTTTAGGGTTTTTCGTGGTATTAATCCTTTCAGCAATTTCAGATCGTGAAGGGTTACCTATTTAAAGGTAACAGATTGTGCATTCCTCAATGTTCTTTGAGGGAATCTATTATTATTGAGGGACATGCAAGCGGTTTAGCTGGGAACTTTGGCATGGATAAGACGAAGGCCTTGTTGAGTGAACATTTTTATTGGCCTCGGATGGAGCATGACGTGACACGTTTTATAGAGAGGTGCAGGGTATGTCATGTGGCAAAAACCAAGAGTACTAATGCAGGATTGTATATGCCTCTACCTGTTCCAGTTGCACCGTGGGAGGATGTCAGTCTTGACTTTGTCTTGGGTTTGCCAAGAACGCAGCGGAGTAAGGATTTAATAATGGTGGTTGCCGATAGGTTCTCGAAGATGGCCCACTTTGTCCAGTGTAACAAGTCCTATGATGGTTCACAGGTTGCTCGATTATTTCTGCAGGAGATTGTTAAGCTGCATGGAATTCCTAAATCCATAACCTCGGATCGTGATGTGAAATTTGTGAGTCACTTCTGGCGCACTCTTTGGAGGTACATGGGTAAAGTTTGAAGTTTAGTTCATCTCATCATCCTCAGACTGATGGTCAAACAGAAGTTGTCAATCGAAGCTCAGGGAATTTGCTGCGGAGTTTGATTGGAGATAATCCGCGACAGTGAGACTTGGCATTGCCTCAGGCGAAATTTGCATATAACAGATCAGAGAACCGAACTACAGGCAAGACTCCTTTTGAGGTGGTTTATGGGCATAATCCAATTACTCCATTGGATCTCACACCGATACCAATTCTCAAGCAATTTAGTTCAGAAGCTGAAGAACATGCAAAGCATATCAAAGAGCTGCATTCCCAAGTCCATAATCAGATCAACAAGCAGAACATGAAGTATAAGCAGCGCGTGGATATACGCAAGAAAAGAGTCGTCTTCAAGGAAGGTGATCTAGTTTGGATTCACCTTAGGAAAGAACGATTTCCAGCGGGTAGGTTTCGCAAGCTTCAACCTAGAGCTGATAGACCCTTCAGAGTTTTGGAGCGAATTAGTGACAATGCTTACAAGATCGAATTGCCGAGTAAGTATAATGTATCCGGAACTTTTAATGTAGCAGATTTGTCACCTTACTACGCTGAAGAGGAAGAAGATCCTGAGGAGATTGACGACGATAATGAAGGCGAAGCAGATTCGAGGACGAATCTTTCTCTAGCAGGGGAGGATGATGCACCTAGGGGATCGGTGGACCCGTTATGCGACTAGACGAACTGACAGGCTCGAAGTCAACGATCTTGGATTGAGCTCAAATTTGGTGGGCTGAAGCGAAACGGCGTGCTGATCAATACTCACGCCGTTGGCCGTGACTAACGATAGATTTTCGCGATTCGGGGTCGTTTAGATGGGTTTTTCTTTTTTTTAGTATTTTTTTATGGGTTAATTTAGTAAAGGGTAGTTTCGTAATTTTACGTTTTGATGTTTACTAATCCTAGTGGGGCTAGGTTTAGGGATATATAAACTTGTTTTAGGGTTTCCTTTAAGCAGACTTTGGATATTTTGATTTGATAATCATACTTGGAGAACGAATTGTTCTTCTGTCGAATTTTCTTGTTCAGTCAATCTTTCTATCGCGTTTCGGCATCACATTCGAACATTTAATCATGTGGCCTCTACCATGGAGTCCACACGAGTAATGGGTTCAGATAAGTTTGATCTCCGTGGCGTAAGCATCATATAGTTGTTTTCTCACTTTCGGGGATAAGAGAAGGGTAAGATGAGATGCAAATAGAATTGCACTTGCTCTGATATTATTTCTATGTCCAACTCCAACCGTTACAACATTTGTCCTGCGTGAAAGTATAAAATACATGTACCGGTTACGGCAACAAACAGAAATATTCAGCCACCACAACCGCCGCCGCACCCTCCACCGCAACCTCCACCACCACCACAAGCTCCTCCACCAGAACCACCGCAAGCGCAGCCGCCACCACCATTAGTACTGTAAATGATCGTGGCCGCAGCAGCAGTGGCTGCTACTGCTGCGCCTGCACCACCGTCTCTGCGGACGCCGCTCTTTTTGGCGGATCTGCATTGATAAACGGCCGTCGAGCAGTGGGTGGCTTCGTTTTCTTCGTCTTCTCGCGACCTCCACAGCAAAAACAGCCCATGACTTCAGTTAAACTTCACGTCGTTCCAATCGCCGATAAAAAGAACACGGTGGCACGAGTATCTTCATCGCTCCGTCTCAATTCTATTCATGTTTTATAGTCGTCCGCGTCACTGAAAGTTGACGAGCCAATGGCTTCGTCGAAGCAATGTGCATTAAGAAACGTCGGAGGTAGAATGTTCGTGTTACTTTCATATGATTTTCGACGCAAGAATTATGTCGACTTGACCAAGTCAAAACTCGGTCTTTTCTTGCGTCTGTGGACAAAAGTTCGTGGGAATTTCCTGTGTACTTCTCTTCTTTGGACATGAGTCGACTTTGTTCTTTTCGGTTTGATTGGTCAACCGATGAGCGAGGATGCTTGGCGTCCCCGTCCTCGAAATAATCTATCGTACAATAGACGCGCAGGAACCTGGACTTGCCGAAACTTAAGGGTAATGGGTTGACTAGAAGAAAAATATTAGACGGGTCGGTTGTCCAAAACCATCATTAATAACACTGAAATTAAAGTTTTGGGGACCCGCTAGTTTAGAACATTATGCTAACATTGCTTTGAGATATCGAAATGTATTGGCACCAAGTAAATTGGACGGCTCAGATTGGGTGTACATGTTTCCTTCACCGAGCATGAGGCCAACCCCCTCGTTCGTTGTGCAGGACGACGAGCACAGCTCGACCACCGGCCACAACCGCGCCTCCGCCACTGCCGTCGCAATGGGCCCACCCTAAAGCACCTGATGCAGCCACCTCTCCCTTTGTTTTCCCCCTCTCTGCAACCGCAAATCTTGGGTCGAGCTAGGCCTGAGAAGGAGGATCTTGTATTGCCTATGCTCTCTTTGCTTGCCCTCCCGACCGAGCTTGCAACCTCAGATCGGAGGTGGCTTGGTATGGTCGCCACCAAGCAAATTAGATCTCCAGTAGAGATTTGCGGTCATACAGAGAGAGAGAGAGAGAGAGAGAGAGAGAGAGAGAGAGAGAGAGTGTGTGTGTGTGTGTGTGTGTGTGTGTGTGTGTGTGTGTGTGTGTGTGTGTGTCGGTTGGTCGTTGGGTGCATAATTTTGCAGTAGCGTTAGAAGGCATTTTCTTGGCAACGTTAGATTAAAGGAGGTGATGCGGTTGAGTTTGGACTCTTGAGATGATTGTTGATACACCAACAATTTAACTTACCTCCTTAAGTTAAGATACACCCATATTGAACAGATTTTACCAGAGTGTTCCATCGGGATGTTCATCAGACTAGCTAGTGAAAATATCATTCTAAAATTCGAAGCTTACCGACACAATTAAATGGTGATAATAATATAAAATTTGAGATAAAGGCACTACTAACCCTCTGAATGGGATACACGAGAATGTCTCTGATTTTCTTTATTGGGCAATTAGATCCTTCCCCTCCCATCTTTGTGTGATTAAATGAGAAAAATAAGCATTACTATAATGTAATGGAAGATCGGACAATACAAAATGGGATACGCGAGATTTTAACGTGCAAACCACAACAGGGAAAAACCACGGACCAGACTCAGCCAGAAACTTCTACCATATGCAGAGCAGGATTACGACAAGCCCTGCGGAGTTCCATTAGAGGCTACGCGAAGTTATCATCAAGTTAACCATCTTGAATCCCAGCAACAATAAGCTCCTCACCATTTGGTGGATTACAAATTTACAGTAATAGAAATGTACGGCCAGATCTCGACGAGCGAGAACATCGCGAATGCGCGGATGGAAGAGGCTTTCCAACAATTGCTGCCGGTCACTGCCACGAACAGCATACTAGAATTTCGTCATCGAAACCGCCATCCGACTCTTGCACGAGCTCGCTTTTCTCTCAAAAATGGCTTCTGTCCAACTCGCTCTGTTCTCTCTCAACTCTTGCTTTTTTTCTCTTGCATTGACCGAATAAGTCGGCCACACATCGACCAACTTGGCCACGTCAAGAGCTTCAACTACCAAACTTTTCCGGTCCTAATTTCAGAAGCCTTCCTAGAATGTGGGGTAAAAGTTTCTTGATTAACGGTAATTATAAGGAGTTTTTGGAAAACGGATTTCCTTTAATGATCGAAGGGCAACTAAAAGAGTAAATCGCACTGTTTGATCGTAAGGGCCGTAAGTTTTGGGAAACCACCAAAACCCCAATCTCATGCTCGTGACACATATTTACCCGAACTTTTTGTGTGACACCAAAATCCCGAACTTTGCTTTTGTGACACATTTACCCTAATGTATTTAGTCCATGGGCATTTTCGTCTTTTTGCTTTTTCTTTTTTTTTTTTCTTTTTTTTTCCTTTCCGACGAGGGGGCCTCGCCGGCGTCGGGTGAGGGCTGCCTCGCGGATCCGGCGGGGGGCCTCGCCGGCGTCGAGCGAGGGCGGACTCGCCGCTGACTCATGCGAGGTCGACCCTCTCGGGCGAGCGAGGCGGCGCCTGCCGATGGCTGCCGCGAGGGCCTCGCCCAATGCCGGCGAGGGCGGCCCTCGCCAGAGGTCGGGCGAGGGCGATCCTCGCTCGACGCCGGCGATGGTCGCTCGCCCGATCCGGGCGAGGGCCGCCCGACGTCGGCGAGGTTCGCCCTCGCCGGATCCGGCGAGGACCGCCCTCACCGGCCGGCGAGGCCCCCTCGCCGGATCCGCGAGGCGCCCTCGCGACGCGGCGAGGCCCTCGCCGGAAAGGAAAAAAAAAAAAAAAAAAAAAAAAGAAAAAGCAAAAAGACGAAAATGCCCATGGACTAAATACATTGGGGTAAAATGTGTCACAAAAAGAAAGTTCGATTTTGGTGTCACAAAAAAAGTTCGGAAATGTGTCACAGATGGCAAAGTTTGGGGTTGTTGGTGATTTTTTCCTAAGTTTTTGTGCTATAATATTTTGTAGATGAATAGAAAAAAAGAGAAGTTACGGCCCTTATGATTCGAGAATCCGTTTCTCGACGAATCATAAAACTATCCCGAGTTAAAAATTGAAAGAAATTTTGTTTTATTAAAGTTTAGCTCTCTATACCATTAGACCCCAATGACAGACTATAGAACTTCAAAAGAAGAAGGTATCAGAGACAAAAAAGTGAAAGCTCATCCCTAATCCATTGGATGAACAAATTTTTTTTTTTCAAGATATATTTGACAGGGCATACAACTTCAAGACAACCAGATAAATTACTGCATGTTATATAAATAATAAATAGACCATGAAAAGCCGAACATATAAATCATGTAGCCCCTATCATGGTGTCCCCATAAATATCTACTCCATCTATAACATCATATAATAGTTTTTTTATATGCAACTCCAACCGTTACATGCCTATTTGTCCAGCATGAAAGCATAAAATACATGTACCGGTTACGGCAACAAACAGAAAAGTTCAACACCCGCCGCCGCACCCGCCTCCGCCGCATCCGCCTCCGCCACACCCTCCGCCGCCCCCTCCTCCATCACCAGAAGCTCCTCCACCAGAACCACCACAAGCGCCACCGCCGCGATCAGTACTGTCCAAAATCGTGGCCACAGCAGCGGTGGCAACTACGGCAGCACCTGCACCAGCAAGAATAGCCGTGCCGCCGTCCCTGCCGATGCCGCTCTTTTTGGCAGATCCGCCCTGATAAATGGGCGGTTGGGCGGGGATCCAAGTGGGTGGCTGGCTTTTCGTCTTCTCGCGACCTCTGCTGAAAAAACAGCCCATGGCTTCACTTGAGTTTCGCGTGGTTCCAATCGCCAACAAAAAGAATACGACGGAGGCGCGAGTATCTCCATGGCTCTCTCTCGATGTCGCTCTTGCTTTGTAGTCGTCGAGTCGCTGAGAGGTGACGAAGCAACGGCTTTGTCGCAGCAATTTGGATTAAAGAATGTTTGGGTTATTTTCACAGAAGTTCCATCGGCATATTTATTCAATTTTGCCCTCCGTGATGACTTCTGAAGGTGGGCTTTTTCGGCCATTTCTTGCGTCTGTGGACAAAAAGCTCGTGGGGATTACGTATGTACTTTAGTTCTCATTGTTTGGCTTGGTCAACAGATCGGTGAGGATGCTTCGCGTCCTGTTCTCGAAGCATTCTACCATACATAAATTAAGATAACATACAGGTTCGTTGTCCAAGCTATCATCAAGAACACTAAAATTCATTTTCGCGGACCCGTCAGTTTAGATTATTCTAACATTGCTTTGATCATTCCCCGCAAAAAACGTTGAATCTCCAACTTAGATGAAGGTGTCTCGTTGTCAGATACTTGCTCCATCCCATGACCTGTCATTAGAGGTGACAAAATGGATCATGGACCTATATTATAACTCAGGTTTAACGGGTTGAATGATATATGGGTTACCTAAGATTTATATAATTTAGATTTTACTGAATCTAATAGAGCAAATCCCATCTAATGATGAGTTTTAGTGGGTCTGAAAAGAAACCCACTTTCATCCCAAGCCCGATGAGAAATTACATGGTGGTGTTCTTGTCCGGAGAGAACTCTTTTGTACTCGACAAAACAAGTCTCTAATGTAAAGACAATGAACTTCGAAGTTAGTTCCCGAGCTTGATGAAAAGAAATATGGTGGTGTTCTTGTCCGGAGTGAACATTATTGTACTCGACAATACGAGTCTCGAATATAAAGACAATGAAATTCGAAGTCAGTGGTGACGATTACAGACAATTGATCGAGTCTTCGCAAGCCTTGATGATCATGGTTTAAGGAGAAATTCTACGCGTGCTTGCACGTCAAGACGCCTTTGCCGGGCAGGAGTTGAACAAATTAATAAGTTGTATAAACCCATTCAAATCCGTTGAATGGGATGAATCATATAACATACAAACTATAAATATAAAAAAAAAAATACGTAGTTTTGCCGACATCTGCAAGTCATGTCCATCCTTCTCGTCTTTCCCCTCTTGTTTCCAACCTAATTCCCTTTTCCTTATCTTTTCCAATATGGCCTTCCTATAGTATCTTGGACTAGCTGAAAATTCTTGCCCAGTTTTATGTACTTTTCTAACTTAGAACACCACATGCCATGCGCGTGTTCGCGTGGTCAAGCAGGGGAATCGCAAGTCGGGCTAATTTGGACGAAATTGATGACCGGGGCCTATGTTTTATTCGGTGCGAGTGTGTTATTCCTAAACATGAATGCCTCTAGGGTCTAAATGCGATAAAGAATACGAATTCACGGTTATACGATATCGATATATTTATTTAGAGGTCAAAAATTGTTGTTAGTGACGGATTCAATCTCTAATTTAGTTTTTTTTGCTTTTCTAAAATGCATGAGTGATCTTTAGGCGAAAGTTTAGGCGTCTACACCACCGGCATTGAAAAGATGAATCCACTCATATTATTATACTTGCTCGACATTATTTCTTCTGTCCAATCATCGAAATTATTTACATACTCACCCTGCATGAAAGTATAAAAATCACAAGTCACAATGACCAATATTCATCACGAATGTGAACTTCTCAAGAAGGGTAAAAAAATCACAAGCTATGAACGGTCAACCGCCACCAGCACCGCCACCACCACAGCCTCCGTCACCGCTGCCGCCACCGCCACATGCCCCTCCACCTCCACCAAAAACTCCTCCACCACCACAAGCGCCACCGCTGCTGCCGCCGCCGCCGCCACCAGTACTAACAGTTATCCTATTATTCCTGCCACCCCTCTTTTTGGTAGTTCCGCCTTGATAAGTGGGTGGCCGGATGGCGGTCGTGGAGGGTTGATTGGCTTTCTTCTTCTTACGACCTCCACAGCAAAAGCAGCCCATGACTTGAACTTCAAGTCGTTTGTTGCAGTTATGATGAAAATGAAACGATAGCGCGAGTTTGTTCGTGGCTCTCTCAATTCTATATATGGACGCCCAATGAATATGACTTTTAAGTAGGACCTGTTCAATTCTATATAAAATTCATGCTCATTTGATGATCTTGTTGAAGTACGACCTGCTAATTCGAATAAACTTTCATCGAACAACAACTAGGTAAATTCTAAATAAAGCAGAGGAGAAAGTTCAACATTGCAGAACAAAATCAAGGAAGCATCGCTAAACAGAAGTCATCAAAATTTTAAAATTGGTTTATAATAGTCAAAGATAATGCAAAACAATAAAAAAGATCAGAACAAAATTTAAAACCAATGATGCACAATTCAAACAATGAACTCAACGATAATGTTTCCACGTTAAACATACACTTTCAAGGGATCATCCATCAACAAACGATTATTACGCGTGATGATTGGCACCAGAAGAAGTCATCGATACTAGTGAACGATCATCGACCGCAGCTACCCTAAGAACCATATGACAACTGAAACCAAAACCTAAAATATTCAGTGAATTCATATCGACCTACCAGTTTTACTGATCCAAATAGTACACGCAGCCATCTGCTAGACCCCCAATTTTAAAAAAAAATTGAACAGTTCGTTTGTATACATTATCGACTTCAATTGCATCAAATTTGGTGAACCCGTAAGTTTAGAACAATATTCTAACTTTATTTCGATCTAATCATGGCTTGCAGTCCTGCTAGACCCCCATATTATATATACAAATCTAAGATACTAAGGGCGCGTTTGTTTCACGAAAAAAAAAATCAAAAAATAATCGCTTATATTTTTTATAAAAATAAATGAATGAAAAACATTTTCATCACCTACAAAAATAATTAGGTATCTAACTTCTTTCATTCTCTTTGTACTTTTGTCATTGGATATCATGTAAGTTCAACCCATTGAGTATGATTGTCTAGTATTGTTCTGTGTTACTTCATCGTTGAGCGTATTACGAGCAATCCAAGTATGCGATCCAATCATAGAATTTTGCAATTTCTTGTCTTTTTCAAGTGGATATCCAGTATCTTTATAATCTCTTTCATTGATTTTGATGGACCAACGAAATTACATAAATTATCCATGTTTTCACATATCACAAGGCAGTAAAAACATCCAAAAATAACTTTTCGTTTGTGGGAAGGTCGTGACAACCAGGAATTTGAAAGATTGATACGTGAATGCCATTGCATATACTACGAAACATGGTACAATGACACGATGATCACTTACACGAAGCTGATGTGAATGACACGGATATAATAATGACTTAGCATATGCATAAATGACATTGCTAGCTTGACATGATAATATGGCCCATGATGAAGTAAGTATGACATGGTATATGATGTGATGACGTGGAAGACGTGATCATGCTCAATACGGAAGTGTCGAGGAAACCGAAGGCAAAAAAATTGAATCGAAATCGGAGCAGAATAGAGCGAAATTTGCAGTTTCGAGTGCGGTTCGGTTTTTTGGTTCGGATAATGAAAAAAATATCCTTCTTTGTTAGAATTATTTCAGTTCGGTTTCAGTTTGTAAACCGAACCGAACCAAAAGAGTTAAAATCACAGTCATTCTTGTTTTTTTTCGGTTCGGATTATTTAAGTTCGTCCTCACCGTCCAAATCCCAGCTCAACCCGGAGAAAATATTAGGTGAGTTGAATATACCACGTGGGATGGTCTAACACTCTATCCAATAAATGCCACGTGGCAAGATGGGTCCCGCTATAAACCTTTACTCTCTCCCATATGTCTCTCTCTTCTCCGTTACTTCTCTCCCTGCACATTATCTCCCCGCCGTTAACCTCTCCATCTCACCCACTTTTCACCATCTTCTTCTTCTTCTGGTACACATACCAGAAGCACACCACCGCCATTATGGACCCACAATGCAGAAGCAGAGCTTCATTTTTGTTTCTTCTTTTATTTTTGGGGCCATAATCTCTGCATTGTGGCCGCGAGCGACGAGCGGCCATGGCTCCAGATCTGGCCAAACTTCCAGATCGAGCCGTCCCGTCCGGCGTTGCTCGATGCCAACGACGACCATGGACATGGATGAGAGTCGTCCATGGCTGGCCGCGAGCGTCGTCCATGGTGGATGGGAAAGATGGATAACCAAGGGGGTCAATAGCATGCCCGAACGACGCCGACAACGGCTGAGCGTCGGCGTGCTCGTGAGTGGTCGTCAATGGTTGGCTCGTGACACTGCAATTCAAGTGCGAGCGTCGTCCATGGTCTCGAAACGCAAAAAGAAACGGAAGAAAACAGTGAAAGAAGAAAGAGAGTAACAAAGGAGAGAGAAGATCTGAAAGTGGGGTAACGAGGGACTGCAAAATCTGACCGGTGGGACCTGTCCGCCACGTGTCATCAGCCGAATGGTGTGTTGTATAACCTACGTGGAGTGTTCAACTCACCTAATATTTTCTCATCCCGATCCACCTTGCCGCAGAATAGCTTCGACCAAACCCATCCTCCCCGCATCGATCAACTGTTTCTTTGGTGGGAAACAAGTCGGGGTTCGCAGAATCCCCTCATGAACTCTAAAATCTCAGCCTCCAAAATCCCAACCCCCCTTCCCTTTCCCCGTTCCTCTTCACCTCCTCACAAATCCAGAAACCCACAAACAGTGTTTTTTCCTTCCTACCGATATCAGTTATACTAGCAACGAACCGGCGAGATGAGATGCAACGTGAAGACCTCTGCCCGAGCTCTCCTTCTGCTTCTTGGGTCAAAGACGAAGAGGAGAGGAGGCTTTAGCGTCCGCTCGTGATCTCAGTGGACCGAACAGGTGAGGATCTTGCCTCCGGTGGAGCTCGACCGAGCCCTCGATCTGAGAATCTAGTGCTCGAATCTGGGTCGAT